CTGAAATATGTCCCTAAGTTTAATTTCTTTACAAATCGTGGTCTTGTTTTGCAATTACTATGCTGATGTACTTGTTATTATTAGTGTTCTGATCTATTTTGGATAAGTTTAATTTTAAAAACGAATGAAGTCCAACTGGCTAATAATGAAATTCTTAGCTTCATATAGTAATTAAACTTCAACATATATCTATTGGCCTGCTGCATAACCAAACTTATAAGCTTTATTTTCATTTGTATGTATATATACATACTCCTTAGCTGCTTTTCATAACTCTGCCATAGCTTAGGTTGCCTTCTTCAAAATATAATAATGAAGGTATGTGTTTGTGTTTATGGATATGGGATATATATTCGCAGCTTAATTAACAAATCAATTAAACTTAACAGATAAATAACTAATAGTTAATCAGAAATCTCAAATATTATTAGGAGCCAACCTAAGGTTGAAATCTGAATAGAAAACTAGGGTTGAAAAATAGAACCAGTCAGACGAACAATAGCCAACCGAGGGGATGAACTGATGAGAAAAATAGAAAACTAAGGTTGAAATCTGAATAGCCAACCTGAAACAACCGAGTGAAGAAGTAAGGTAGAAAATTTTTAACATTGGTCGATCAGTAATCCCTAACACAACAATAAGGATTGTATAGAAGTATACACAAGTCAATTCACATAACTACACTTTCTTTAAGCTGACAGAGAGGATCATAGAAATAAATAAAATGACCAGAATGTTACAATGAAAACAAGAGCAATTTGAAAGTCAAACAATCTTTTAAATTACAAAAGGGGTTAGAAAGAGGTTAGATAATAGAAGGATGTAAATATTTATCCATTTAAGCACTTTACACCATAAAACTGTCAAACTCAAATTATAAAGACAAAACAAGTAAAAATGTGATGATTAAATCTGAAAATATAAACAGAGTGAGAGTTACCTGAGGTTTGATTCTTTGTTATGCGTAAACAGAGAGTGAGAGATTACAACCAGAGATTTTTCTTAGCATCCTCAATCACTAATTATTGGCAAAGAAAGATAAACCAAATCACCACTCTTGCACCTAAAGAAACGGACATTCATTTTCAACCATGAACATATATTTTTATTGAATATGAGACTTCTAGATATGTGAAACCAACCCCATAACACAAACACCTGTGGATTGGAATGTGTCTTAAGATTAGACCACACTTTTCAAACTCTGGCAGAACTAAATTGCTATCAGCCAGAGAAAACCTGCAAAATGATGATTCATAAATTCATACCAGTGATACCACAATGGTGAAAATATAATGCACAGATATGGAAAATGAAAAAACTATGGCACAGACATGTGTGAGATGTTATGAGATATATACAGCTCTAAAGCTTAGAAGCTAAAGTGCAGATATATCACATTATAAGAGGCAACAATGGCACCTTGAAATTTCAGCACACGTAGGACAATCTATCTCCCTTTGTATCAATAAGACAGTCGAACCCACATGCACAACCAACATATTCCATACTTCCTAAATTAAGAATGCGCTACTTTGAGTACAGAGCAACAAATCATCCACGGGTAAAACATACGGAGTAATACTAAACAATCCAACACAACCGCTCATGTGTGAAGTTTCTCGAATCAGACAGATCGAAACGAAGAAGCTAGTTCATAACTGAAGTCAGATTAGTTAATGTCTTTTTTGCTTTATAGATATGAGTTCTCCATCTAGTTTATGGTCAACAATTTCATAAAAACGCCATTCATTGAGTTTGAATGGGTTTTATATTTCAAATCTAAAAAAGACAAAACAGAAAATTAGGGCAAAATTCAATGAATGAATGAATATAAGTAGATTGATCGTGTGAAACACCATTTGATTTCGTCATTCTCGGAGAAATGGAAGAATCTTAAGAGCATTAGCGTATATGGCAGATTTGTATTTCCTATTGTTTGGGAAAATGGAAGAAAACGATTGTTCCTCGATGTTCTAAGTCAAAACCATTAGCGTATATGTCAGCTCTCAGGAAGGAGAAAGACCATTACCTGAGAATCGTAGGGAGCTGAGAAGAACTCTTCCGGCCAGCTCTCAGGAGGAGGAAGACCATCCATAGTTGTTTTGTCCTACCCTAACCGATAGAGAAGTGTATTCCGCCCTAAGTCACAGCCGGCCGGCTCCTTTAATTGTATTTCAGCATTAGCGTCGACCGTACACGCTATAGTCTCCCCGTTTTTTATATTTTTTTTTACATTTCGTTGTTGCCTCGACTCCGTCGACGCTAATATTATTAAAATATCGGGATTCCGTTTTAGCTGCAACAGGTTGACGCAAATGGTTAAAATTTGGAACTTCCAACAGGTTAAATATTCGGGGTCTTTTGCGACCGCATGTCGACGCAAAGAGAGTGTCTTTTGTGTCCACACGCTAAAACTTTGCACACGCTAATGATACTTTTTCTTGTAGTGCCTTATCGCAGGATCTTCCGTTAAAATGGACTGGCCTTGAAGAAAGATAGCCCCCGTATCCCGATAGCTATTCAGACGGGTCTGACTAGCTCGCTCCCAAGATAATCCTAGTCCGTTTCAGACTTGTAACTACCTTGACTGAAACCTTCGACCGTTGCCTAAATTGCCTTGAAAGGAGATGACCCCGAAAAATGAAAGAATAATCGACCGACTATGAGACGGATGAAGCTTCTCTTTTTAGTGGACAAATCCAAACACTTAAAACACTTGAAAAAGAAAGCACACGCATGGAAAATCAGAAAAGGAGTGAGTGCTTCTATGCTTTTCTTTCTTTTGCACGTAGAGTAGGAAATTAAAGCACCAGGTGCTTTTATGATGTGTACGTATGTCTCAAGGAGAATTGAAACAAGCAGCTATCTCCTCAATTTGAAATCAGAACATCAATATAACTATACGAATAGGAGTAACGGTTGTTCCATGATCCATCTTTAATGGTCCTTAAACCACCCTTAACCGAGCTTCAAATTCAAGTTTTGAAACGTTATTGTCCACATACAAATTAAATGACCTTTTATCTTGAGACATTTTCCCATACACTTTTAGATCATCCCGAGCAGGTCTGAACGTATGGAATAATATTTCAAGCTACCATATGTGATACTATATGATATTCCTTATCACATAATATTTTATTAATAGACTATATATCTATTTATGATATGGGACAATAACTTACCATTTTGACATTTCACTTTACAACTTTTACAACTATGGATTCTAATCACCAAATGAAATAAATCCAAGTATGAAAGTTGTACTTTGATAATAAGCCACTCCTATTACATATATTTATATTACACATATATTTCAGGGCTCAAAATGAGACCACTCAAAATTAATTTATTTCATCATATTTCCAACAACTTCTACCCGCCCTATGCATATTAGAGATATGAATGCGGCGGCTTTACGTGATATTACAAGGAAGAAGTGAAATACATATATAGGGAGCGGTTCCGGCAAGAACGGATCTTAGGAGAGAAATGAGAACGAATCTGGACCGTTGGATTAAATTATGTGGAATTGAATTGTGCATTTGAAGAAACCAAAATGTGCATTAGATGATATTGAAATGTGCATAACTAAAATTTAAACTCACATGTGCATTAGGTGAAACTGAAATGTGCAGAATAAAAGGTACAAAAATAACATCACATCGCACCTTTTATTCTGCACATTTTAGTTTCATCTAGTACACATTTCAAATTCACCTAATGCACAATTTAGCTTCACATAATGTCACTACATTGTACCATTTGTGCTGCACATTTCAATTTCACCTAATACACATTACAGATTCATCCAATGCACATTGAATTTCACATAAAACAAATCTAACGGTCCAGATTCATTCTCATTTTTCTCATAAGATCATGTTCTTATTTGAACCAAAACCTACATATATAATCTACTCTTTGTTTAATGAGGAAGATAGAAATTTAATTCTTAGTATCCCATCAGCTCACAAGATAGAAAGAATGGGTATTGGTGGAAAGGAGAAAATAATGGTCTTTATTCGGTGAAGAGCTGCTATCGTCTTCTCATGGGCTAATTCCAAGCGGGCGATTGGAATGGATGGAATAATTTATGGGACATTAAGGTTCCACCAAAATTTAATTTTTTTGTTTAGCGTGTCTTGGATGGAACACTTCCAGTTGTTGATAATCTGAGAAGAAAAGACGTAGATATCTAGGGGGTGTAAGCTATGTGGTGAGACGTTAGATGCTCTCGATCATGCTATGAGGGCATGTCCAACAGTTCAAGCAATTTAGAGAGCGACTGACACCTATTCAGGTTACGAGCAGACCTCGGCAGAGGCATGGATAAAGCAACAACTTGACACTTTGGAGATGGAGGGAAGATGTAAGTTTGTGTCTATTCTTTGGAGTATTTGGAAAAGGAGAAATACCGTAGTTTGGAAAAATCAGGTACAGGAGACGGCTAATGTTTTAAACGTGGCGGCCGGAATGTTGGCTAGTTGGAAGGATGCTCAAGCCACCGAAGGGGAGAACACAGTGTTGGCCGATGATAGCAGAGATAAATGGGTGAGACCTGTGATTGAGGCTATTAAAATAAATGTGGATGAAGCTGTCAATCAGGAAGGAAGTAGGAGGGATTAAGGTTGGATAGCTAGAGATGAGTATGTTGATTTTATTAAAGCCTTAGGAGCTTCTCATATGGCTGGATGGATAGCGGCTAAGACAAAGACAATGGGAGTTCGTCGTGCTTTGGTGCCAACAGTGGAGGAAGGCTGGCATCACGTGGAGGTTGAGACAGATGCTCTATCAATCGTACAATGAATTAAAAAGGGAGAAGAGTCCTCTTATCTAATCTTATATTAGTGATGATATTAATAAAATTCTTGAAACATGAAATAATTTATTGTCTCTTTTCATAAACGGTCTGCGAATCAGCTGATTAATTATGATGATATTCTTGTAACTCATTTGGTGAATGACTTACAAGTGATTTGATGATTTAATATATTCTATATTTGATGATAAAGAAAACAAAGAATAAGAAAGAACTCATCTAATGATTCTCCGGTTGAAGTCCTTCGCTCTCACACTCAGCAGTCACCAGTTAACCTAAAGCAAAGATCGAGAATGGGGTTTGAGCAATTAGTCATTCTGCCAAAACCCTTTAATCTCACTCCTAACGCCCCAGGAGATTCCCATGTCCCTGCTATGTCCCTCCGTGTTCAGCCTTTTACTCTCAAGCTTTCATCACTGTCATCATCTTCTCATAAAAGCACCCGATTAATCTATTGCCGCCCGCTCAGCTACTCAAACGACTACCAAAACGGCAACAGTTCCGATGCCGTCGTTTTCGAGTACAATCAATTGGGGGCATCTCAGTACCCCCGGCCCTCCGAGATTCAATGGAAGAAGGAGCTTTGCAATTCTGTGCAACTCATCGGCATCGTTGCGGTTCCAGTCCAAATCAAGCACCTTCCATCTGGGAAGACCTTAGCTTGGACACGCCTAGCTGTCAAGAAATCTGCCAGCGAGACCACCTGGTAACTTGGTTCCCAAATGCTATTTCCACTCTTTATTTATTTTCTCGAATTGACTTTGATGTGGTTGCACTCTAGGCGGCTTCTCTTTTAATTATCAGCTATATCGTAGTTGGAGTTGCAGCTGGGAAAACATGGGTAGTTTGAAATTTATGGTGTAGATAGGAGGGAAATGAAATTACTTCGAATTGTAAGAGAAAATCAGGAAATTTTAAAAACACTGTGAGTATATTTAAAAATAGCTAAACATTTCAAGAAATACCAGGAAGCATATACAAATATACTTCCACAGAAACTTGCAGAGTGTAGTCTTTTCCTCCAAAGCTTTACATTTCCAGTGTCAAAATATAGACCTTTTTTTTGTATAAATGCAAAGTACCTGTATTTCCATAAATACCTATATTTTTATAGCAGCCCTGTTTTTGCACACTCTTAGGGGGTGTCCTCAATATGGATTGTTAAGGATTTTAAAGGAATTTAGAATTCCATCAAAGTTTGGGTGTCCTCAATTTGGATTTGTATGGAGTCTACTAAAATTCAGCTATCCTCATATTGTCCATGGATTCTTTAACTTTTGGATTGTTAAGGATTTACATGGATTTCAAAACTAAAATATGAAGGATAGAATACTGCTGAAAATCTCTGCTCTCCCTTCGGATTTGAATGGATTTCCCGTCTAGAAGCAAAACAAAGCTAGAAGCAATGCTTGAATTTCAGGCTGCAAAGTATCTTGAGACATGCCACTGAACTATCAGCGAGAAAGCTGCATTTTCGTACAAAAGGAACTCCCAGATGTGCTTATCGAGAATGAAGAATGGAAGCCGTTTGATTGTCTGGGGATTATGGTTTGGGAGAGGACAAACGGCAGCAGAAGGTAATTAGGGCATCAACGATAACGAAAGAGAAAAACACAATACGAAGTCTTCGTATTGTGTTTTTCTCATCAGCCCCCATTTATCCTTCCGCTTTTGAGGTTTAAGATAGAGACCAGAGAAAGAGAATCAATATGTTCAATTCTTATCATCACCAATCCAACAAAAAGTCAGTTGCTTGGTTATTAGTATGCTGTTTCAGATTCAATAGGTTTCAGTATACCGTTACTTTCCTTCTTCAGTTGCGGAAGCCTTAAGGAGACACACAGAAATCGTGGAAGCAGGCTAGCGGCAAAGCAATGCGGGAGAGAAGTTGGGGCTTCGTGGTGGCGAGAAACCTAGGATAGAAGCTGAAAATCGGAAGGGATTTCAAATTTCATGGATTTCAAATTCCATGGAATTTGATTAAAATCTCACAGATTCTATATAATTCCATATAAATCCATCAAAATCTCATTCCTTTAAAATCTGTAAGAATTCATAGAATCTGGCAATCTGCACATGTAGGCTTCATAAGGGCTAAGTCAGAAGAAACAATTATTTTTTAGATGAAGGGCAATATGTAGCATTGAGTTGGCAGCAATTGTACCTATTCAGTCGATCTCTAGTAATCCATTTCAAGTATGCTCTTAGATCTATCTTATGACTTATCGGCGGTTACATACATAATACATCTACTTGAATAAAAAATAGTTTAAAAAAGAGAATAGTTTGTTGTGTGTCTGTCCACAACCTTGAACTTCTTTATTTATAATGATGAGTCTACATGTACATTAATGAGAGATAGGAGATGAAAGGTAATGAGAGATAAGAGATGAAAGGTCAAATGAGATGAAAGGTCACTTCTAGAAAATACAGAGGAGCCTATTTAGCTACCAATAAATCTTAATAAATCTAACACTCCTCTTCAAGTTGGAGCATACAAATTATATGTACCAAACTTGAAACAAATAAGTTTAATTGAAGGACCTCTCAAAGACTTTGTCAACACATCAGCTTATTAGACCCAATAAGTTCAGTGCTGATTTTCGAACAAAATGACAGGCGATCTCTATATGTTTAATTCTCTCATGGAACACCGGATTTTAGGTGATGTGAAGGGCAACTTGATTATCACATTACATTTTCATTTGTTGAACCTTACAGAACTTTAATTCTTGAAGAAACTTTTTTACCCACATGAGCTCACATTTTGTTTATTGTTTATCCAAGAAATAATATTTCCTCCAAGAAAGACCATAATATCCGGTGGTGGATCGTCTGTCCACATGAGACGTTGCCCAATTAGAATCACAATACCCAAGGATTTGAGTATTTCTCTTGTTTTCATATATCAAGCCTTGTACTGGAGATTTTTTTATGTATCTTAAGATGCGAATGACAACATTCCAATGCTCAGTGAACAGAGCCTGCAAAACTGACCAACAACACAAACTGCAAATGATTTGAAAACACTTTTCCCTGTTCTGGCATTAACTTTTGATTCAAGTCCATAGGACTATTTAGAGGCTGACAATCAATCATTCATGTTGGTTTTACCATATCAAGAGTATATTTTCTTTGAGAAATTATGACGCCTTCGTTTGACTGGGCAACTTCAATACTCAAGAAATATTTGAGGCTCCCAAGGTCCTTGGCCTGTAAATAATTGCCCAAGTGTTGAAGTGAGATATTCTAGCAGCATCACTTCCTGTAATAACAATGTCATCCACATACACTATCAAGTAAATACATTTTCCAGGAGAAGTGTGACAATAAAAAAGTGAATGATCTGCTTCACTACGTTTCAGCCCAAAGGCTTGGACAACAAAACTAATTTTTTTCTCTTTCCTAGTGGCAACGAGTCTGATGATCAACTTCACCCCCTTCAGGATTTACTCTTTATGATCCTGGGAACCTCTGAAACAGTGGTATGTTGATGCTCCTCTTCTTCATCATCTGATCCGGTCTTGTCATCTATTCTTTCATTCCTGCTAGTCATATATGCAAAAATATAAATGTAAGTCAACAAATACATGGCATCACAAGGTGTGAGCGAGAGACACGATTCTCACTCACGTATAATCTCATGGGATGAAGACCATCACTGACTAAGGTAATAATAGTGGCATTAAGGGCAGAGGAAAGAAAGATCCGTTCACACCTCTGGACCCGAGAACCCCATTGGAGGGAGGTGACAACAGGTGAGGACCAGACACCTAAATCCACTCTTTTTTCCAGCTTTTGTTTCAGTCGTGATAATCCTTGAAAATGTTATTCATTGGCCCCTGGGAAATTGAAGTGAACTATAATAACACCAACAAAATCAATCGCAAAACAAACAAACCGTGGGAATAAGGGCCACCTCCTTGCATAGGGTGATAAATGTTGCGATGGAAATATGAGCCGCTGGAGTCAACTGCTCAGGCACTACTCCCTAGAAGTCAAGGACCTCGATCAGGAAAGTGTGCAAGGACAGTGAACTCCAGTTCCAGGAAACGAAGGTGGACCTCAAAATTAGAAGCTGAGGGATTGCTGTTGACGATCTTAGCTCCTGGAGGCAGCTATAAACAACTAAACAAGAGGGATCAACCAGGTCGTTCATTAAAGATAACTCTTCGTCAGTGATCCTCAGGTTGAGAGTTTATATGACACTATTATCTAGGGTCTCAGAAATTTGATTCATCTTTATCGGAGGCTATTACAATTCATTTGGAAAGGTAAGACGTTTGGAAAGGTGTCAAGTCAGCCTGAGGAAATAACAATTCGTCGGGTTTGACCTTGAAGAGGGAACCCGCTGCAAAGGTGCGTGGCATGCACACACCTAGAAGCTAGGGCTTTGGGATACCAACAGTCGTCATGCATTCAGCCTAGTGTTTCCGCCTACACCAACTTGAATTCAAGCTGACCTAGGATTGATGGCGTCATAAACAATACCTTGGCTTGTCTTAGGCTCTCACCTGTGGACTAACGAAGGGCTTCTGCCCGACCTATGAGCCTTACCAACACTGGCAGACAAAGGATGATTGCTTGAACTGGGAACACGGATTTCCATTGCTTGCATGTCCAACTTGGGAAGGCTTCAACTGCTGGCCTACTTTTTACACTCGTCTGACGTTGTGGAGCCTCTAGCTTCGAGCCCAACATAGGGTTGACCTAGTCTAACAGGGATCCGACCTATCAGTCTAGCAGAGAACTCGCCTGCAAGCTGTTACATAAATCGCTGAAGACCCCACGATCTGCGTTCTGAACGATCCGTACCCAATCGCGGCACAAAAGCGTTCCAAACGCTACAGGGATCGCCGGCGAATATGCTTCCCAGATCGTTCTTAGTAGCTTCTCCAGGTCGTTCGCAATCGCTCTCCAAATCGTTTGCAGTCACTCTCCAGGTCGTTCGCAAACGAACCAATGCTATTAACAATCATCGTTTCCTTTCCGCGTTGCAGATATGAAGACCCGCAAACATTTGATTTCAAAAGTTCCTAAAGGCTCGAACCAACCTCTTCGTTTTCTGCTCCAGGTCATCAAACTTTCAAACCAGGTTACCAGACTCTTCTTTTTCCGATGCCGTCTACTCTTCCACAGGGTCGCCTATTTAATGTAGTGAAATTTGTTCAGTTTCAGAGACCTTCTACTCTCATTCAGTACTCCAGTCCAATCTTCTCGTTCCAAATAAGTTTGTTGACTTGTTCTCTTCACTGAAAATGGTTTCGAGTCTGCTTTATCAACAGTCCCAAGCCATCTTTTCTGTTTTAAACTTTTAATTAATGTTCTGTGTTTTCAGTTTTGAGTCAAAAGTTTCTATGATATTAACGTTTTTTTAAAATTATGAAATCATGTTAGGACATCTGTTTTGTTTAATATTATGAAATCTGTAATTCTGTTTTATTATAGTACCAAAACACAAGGTACAACATACCGAAGATAAGGTACAACGTACCGAACGCGTACCGAAATGAACCTACCCCCTCTGAACCGGATACACTAGACCTAGCACACCGCGTTCCCGTCCATCGTTTCGGTACCAAAGCGTTCCACGAACTATGTGACTATGATCCCAACAAACAAGGAGCTCGAGGCCCCTGAGTCCCTGACCTACCAGCCAGGGTGATCTGCTAGCCCGTAAGAGAAATGATCAATATCGTGATCTATGTAATGGTTAATATTATAGTTAATGTCGTAATCAACGAGCCATTATGACTCTTAGGGTCTACACTTTGTAATGCCTATAAAAGGCTGTCGAGTTTCAATGGTAATGATACATTATTTCTGACATACAATCTCTATAGCACTTTTCTATTTTCGTACTTTGATTTGTACTCGAGTTTTCTGTCATATCTTCTTTAGAAGCCTATGAGTGTCCTCTTTGGACTAACAAGTTTATTTACGTATGTCAATTATATAAAGACTAATAAATGTAAACAAATGTACAAATTTAAAAATATTGACTTTTCATAGAAACGTTATATCCTGATTCGGTAGCATGGCGGGATCCAAACATACCTTTAGAAAATGGCTGGCTAGAATGTTTTTACTTGGACTGGAATTTTCTTGTAAATAAATTGTGTATTTTATATTACATCCGTCCCAAAAAACTTTGCCATTTCAAAAAATTTGAACCAAAAAACTTTGCCATTTCAAAAAATTTGAACCATTATTTTGATTAGGATAATATTTTGGAAGTTACAAATTTTATACTTTTAAAATTTTATACTTTTATAAAAGTACTTTTAACAAAGAACATTTTCATATAATTTTTATATTATAAATAATTTCCAATAAAAAGATATAGTTGGTCAAAGTTTTGGAAATGACAACGTTTTTTGGGACGGAGGTAGTAACTGTAGTAACTCTGATCACCACTATTGTACTGACCAAGTCATTCCCACAATATCCGTTTTGTCGATGTATATGCATGCAAAAAGAACAAAAAGCTTTTACTTGCATTCCATATGTTATCTCACAATACTATCTATGTGTAATTGTTTGAAATATAGATATGGAGTAGTAATATCTTCCTTTCACACATCTTTCTGAGATCGAGTGTTGGGGTTTATTTAGTTTGGGATTTTTGGGGGATAGGAGGGAGGTGATACTTATTTTTTATTAGTCTTACATTTAAATGTTTGAAAATAATGTGAACATAAAAAAGTATATGGAATACATGATATAACTAATCATATACTCCCTCCGTCCCACAATTAAATTCCCAGTTTGACTCTAAATATCTATAAATCTATACTTATAAAATCTACAATAAACTAACATTCAAATAATACATATTGCAATGAAGTCTATGATATTAGTTTTGTATGATAAAGTAATTTAATTTTTGAATATTTAATGTTCAAAGTTTATAAACTTTGACCCAAAAAGTCAAACTAGGAATTTAATTGTGCGACGGAGGTAGTATGCTTTTAAATTAACAATAGATATAGATCAGCAAAATAAAAATCAAGGAGAATTTGTCCTTGGACCCCATTAATTGAACAAAATTGGACTCTGCATCTCATTTTGCAAAAAAGATTAACGTAGCACCCTATCACTTCAAATATTTGTTAAGGGATAGAGTGCAAATCTTATTCTTTTTATCAAATTGGCTTGCACACATTTACTGTTTTGAAAATGGGGTGTAAAAATTAATTTCCCTCAAAAATTGGTGCAAAGTCAAAATTCCCCAAAAATCAATCCTCACCCCACCCTAAAAAATCACCGAACCAAATATGCTCTTAAGCTACTTATGTCTTACTTCGATAAAGTAGATTTTCTAAACTCACATACCCTCCTCTGTATATTCATTACAATACTTAAGCTGGGCTTAAGTCATGAGTTGATATTATTTCCCCTCTCAACATCATTTTCATTTACCCCAGTGCCGCAAAGGCTCCCACCTACGGTGGGGTAAGGGGGGTCGGATGTACGCAGTCTTACCCCTGTACTAAAGCACATAGAGACCGTTTCCGGATGACCCATAATGAAAATCACGTCCAAAATTGCATGGACTGACTGCTGATCCATAACAAAGAAGCGCAGACAGTTTAGTGAGTCATTTTGCTTTATTCCATCATAATCTCAAACCAAAAAATAATGAATCTTTGGCTCCATTGCAAATGATGGAAAAATTTACCCTCTCAACATAAAGAAAAATGTCTGTTGTGGCTAGAGTGTGGTAATAACTTTTAAATATATAACTTTCCAGGATTAATGTGAATTTTTGGAATGAATTGGCTCATGTTGCTTTCCAACACGTTGAGAAAGGTTGCCAAATATATGTATCTGGTCGCTTAGTATCAGATACTGTTGAAGGGGATGATGGTAAACAACAGACTTACTACAAGGTTGTTTTTCCGTTTTCCTTTTGTCGTTTCTATTCCTAATGACTTGCAATCTTAATTAGCATTACGATCATCTCTTTATTAAAATGTTATCTATCATCTTTGGCAGGTGGTTGCTCAAGAAATTAATTTTATTGAAAGGAATTCTTCTTCACCTGTGCCATTATATGATGGGGAATCTAATCCCATGATATCAGGCAATAATTCGTCTCTATACTCAACATATCCCAATTTTATATTCATCATGTGCTATAATTAGTAACTATACAATTTGTTTGGATGTCCTTGTAGGCACAAAGCCAAAGAATTTTGCTGCAAATAGTACCGGAACCGTGGAGGAGTTATGGCAAGCATTCTTTGCTAACCCTATGGAGTGGTGGGATAATAGGAGAAACAAGGTAGTCCTCCTTTTCACCATATAGTTAACATTTTAAGATGATTTGAATGAAGTGCATCCATAAGTAGCTTACATGTTGTCTTTTTGCTTAAATATGTTATTACCACAACTAATCCTAATAGGAGTAGGAATCTTTGTACCACAAAAACACTTAAAAACTATATAACCAACTCAAAAGTAGAACGCTACTTTTTACATTGTTATAGTGTGTCAAATATGCAGTTATATGATTAATGTTATAAACTTATAATGTTGTAGAACTTTAATGTTAGTAGGAACTAGGAAGTTCAAAAAAATAGTAGAAATAACATTCATAAATGAAAACAGTGGTTGTGCTATAATATATTGTCCATTGATGCATTTTAATTAAATATATCTAAATATGCGTGAATGATGCATATATTTTGATTGCAGAGGAGCTCAAACTATCCAGACTTCAAGCACAAAAGTACTGGTGAATCATTGTGGGTGGAAGGCCGGAACAATCCGCCATGGGTGAAATCTCAATTGGCTATACTCGACTCTAGGATGGAAGGTCTTCAAGATCAAGTTGATAGTGTGCGTGTAAACTTCATGACTGTTGATAATCACCGACCTCTTTAGCTGCACTTGTATTTCTCTAAATCCTCTAATGTGGAGTTTAAGATTCAGATTGAGTTTTCATCTGTTGATAAGCTTATGATCTTGTAAATGTGCTTCTAGGGGGTGGTAGTGTGGTATGGATGTAGAGTAGTTGTTGGCATTCATGTATGTCCTTTTTTGCCTATCCATTGAGGCGTCCTCTAATTTCCAGCTTGTTATACATTTTAGCTTTTATCAATGTTTTTGACTATGTCACAAAAACTACTTACGATTAGGGTTGGACCGGGTCAGGCTGGGCCCCGGTCCGGGATTTGTGTGGGACTGGGTTTGGGAATTCAAGGCCCGGTACCGGCCTGGGTTGGTTCCAGGTTCGGGTCGGGTCTAGTTTTTTTTTAAATTTGATTTTTCTTATTTATTCCTACTCCACCTCAAAGCCCCCCAAACCACTCAGCCCCACCCGCCTAGCACCCAATCCATTAAAAAAAAAAAAAAATATATTTGGGCCCAGATCGGTCCCACACCGGTCAGGCTGGTCCACCAAATACCCATCCCGTATTTCGCTGGCGCCCCATGACCCCCTTGGTTTGAGCCTCAAGGCCCAGTCCCGGTCGGCCAGTCCGGGCCGGTACACACAGTAGCGGTCCGGGTTGGTTTTAACTGGTCCAGTCCATGCCTGATGCCTACTTCGGATAGTATAATTCTGTATTATACAACTTTGAAAATTTATTATGAGACATATTTAACAATAATTTTTTGATGGGAAAAATAATTCAAATACCCTCAAGTCCTCAACTTTGAAGGGGTGTGAAGTGAACACCCAAACTTGAGCATGTAATAAAAATATCCTGAACTTTATACAAAAGTATTGTTAGCACCAATATCATATGATTTTTCTATCACAAATGTGATCAATAATTTAAATACATTCAGCATTAATGAGAATGCAATTAACACTCAAGCTCTTAGCTTCTATTTATGGAATAACTAATAATTTATTAGTGTATATATATATGTTAATTGTATCCTCACAAATGCTAAATAATTTTGAATTGTGTACTTAAGACCATAATCGGGTACCTGACCGAGTAAAGGTGGTCACCGGTCCCGAGTTTCAATATTTGGGACTGAACTGCGCGGTTTCGGTCCTGTTCGGTCCTTGACCGGCCATTTTTTATAGCTTAAAATGGTCAATGGATAAATAGATTGTTCAGTTCCGGGATTCACAATTACGAACCGGGACTACCTTGTTCGGGACCAAAACCGGAACCGGGACTAGACTGAGATTGGGTCCATCCCTAATCAAGACTTATATTTTGTGTAACCCACTAATCCTTGTTATATTCCGTTCCCGGTTTTTTTTTTTAAATTATTAAGCACTATCTGACCTTTTGAACTTTTAAGTTCCTTCATATAATTAGAAAATGTCTGGTGCACACATTATTTATATAGTTGTATACATTCTCTCTATCGAAAATAATTAGTACAAAATTTTAGACAAATTATGCGTTTTTAGACCAATTGCCTTGATATAGATGAATTTCTTGTGATGCCAGCCAAATGAATGGTGTAAACAAATGTGTACAAAATTACAAATGTACAAATAATGCGTATAGTCAACACAAATGCGATTAGGTTTTTCTTCCAATAATGTGACTAATTTTTTTTAATTAATTTAAAACAATTCTCCTTCTAATCCCTACCCAACTGCCCCCCTAGCCCCTATCCTCTCCCCCGTTGCCGCCAAAACCCCTCAAAAAAGTCATTGGCTTTTTCCCTTTTCAAGTTTGTTTTTGATAAATTGTTTCAAAAGTTAATGAAAAAGTTTTCAAGCAATTACAATGACATCGGAAGCAGCGACAGTAATACTTGTAGTAATTTAATAAACTAGCAGTAACATAAAAAATGCCAGTAATATAATAAATTGATAATAATATTCATAAATTTTGACTTTAACTACTCTGTCAGTTATATTTTTATCCATACGAGAAAATGGCCACTTTTTTAATTGGCTTCGATATAATACATCTTGATTAATATTTAAGGAAAAATCCAAGACAATATATCCAATGTCAAGTGCACATTTTTTCAAAACATGAGGACAAGAAAAGGAAGGTGTTGCTGGGATGAAAATGGAGCTGGGGAATAGACTTCGAATAGAAGCATCATTGTATTCTTACAAATTAAAGGTAGCTAGTAAATTTAATTCCACAAATAACCTCCAGTTACCGCAGGAGCCACACTCCATTTGTTGCTACTACTTGCTATGAGTATATGGATCTTTACTCTTCCTTAATGAATTATATTATTTGATGGTATGCGGTGCAACACAAGAATCAAGGTGGGTGTTAGTGTTACACGTCAATTTTTGGTGAATTTGAATATGTTATATTTGTAATCCTAATTCTAGTTATATTATACATGATGTTTTAATACTTAGAAAGGAAGGTAAAGCAAGGTTAGAAAGTAATTATATTTAATGGACTCAAATTGATTTATTCAATTGGACCATTAAGTTAGGTCTGGTCCGTTTCAGTCTTATCCACCTTGGTTTGGGCCTGATGTTTTCCTTGGTCAGTTCGGTTCTCCTTATTTGACCCAACTCTTTTCTCTCGCATATAAAACGTCTCCTTCCTTCCTTCTGGAGACATCTTTTGCGTCATTCTTCAAAACCCTAATAGAGAGAGGCGATAGAGAGAGAGCTTGTGAAGTTGAACGAGAGAGATTAACCTCTGGTTTTCTTCTTCGTGATCTGAAATCACTTGAGTCCAAAATAAGCTGAGAAAGGCAGGAAGTAGACCGTGTGGTGAAGCGTAGATCCAGAGCAGTTGATTCGAGTCCAAGAATCTAATAACTCCTGGGTTTTGATGGTTTCATCCGGTTATTTCTCTTCCTTTTCTTATTTTATTCGTATTCTTGTTTTTGGCTGATTCTTGTGTGTTAGATCTGTTATTTTTCGTACCTTGCTTTGCAATCATCTGTGTATTCAAACTATTCTGAGCTAGTGGATTCTTGGGACCGGGTTTCCCCTGTGGCCCTGTTGAACCCCGCAGAGTAGGATTTATCCGAACTGCGTCAACATATCGTGTGTTCATTTCTTTAATTTCAGTTTTGGTTAAATTTGATATTTGAATCCGGTATTTTTGACTGTGACTATGGATATAGTCTGTGAACAATTTTGGTATCAGAGCCTTTACATTAGATTCTTGAAACCCTAATCTAAATTTCTGATTTGATTGAGTTTTCAAGAAACCCTAATTTTTGGTTTACTGTTTTTCGATCTTGAAACCCTAGCTCAAAAATGTTCGAATCTTGATTGTTTTTTTAGTTCTTGTCTGATTGCCTTCTGTTGCTGTTATTGGTTTGTATCTTGATCTTAACCTGCAAATATGTCTGACACTGGTATCAAGATTCGTATCTTTGATGGTACCAGTGACTTTCCCATGTGGCAGCTTAAGATGAAAGCTCTCCTGATGAAGCAGAAATGCTTTGGAGTTGTCTCTTCTAATACTGTTCCCAATGTGTCTAGTTCTGATCTGACTGAACTAAAAAATGCTGCATATTCTGAATTGATTATTCATCTGTCTGACAATGTGGCTAGAAAATTTTCCACAATCACTGACCCTAAAGTGTTATGGGATACCCTAAAGTGTTATGGGATACCCCTGAGTCCACTTATATGAAAAAATCTATGTCTAGAAAGATCTCTCTGCTCTGTAGGCTGTTTACCTTCAAAATGAATGTTTCTGTGTCTTTGTCTGAGAATTTGGATAATTATCTGAAATTGACTCAAGAAATTGAAAAGGTAGATGAAAAGATAAAAGACACGCATCAAGCTGTTATTCTGTTAAACTCTTTACCTTCCCAGTTCGATAACTTTAAGGATGTCATCCAGTATTCTAATGAGGATCTCACCCCTGGTAAGATCACTTATGCTATACTTGAAAAGAATGAATCCCTTAAAGTTTTCAAGTCTAAATCTGATCCCTCTAATACTGAGAAGACTGAGCCCAAAAATGAAGCCCTTGTAATTAAAGGGAAACCAAAGAATAAAAAGAACAGTTCTAAGAAGAAGAATAAAACTGATAAAGATAATTCTGAAAAGAAAACCTTCAAATGTCAATAATTCTCAAACATTTTGCAAGAGACTGTAGGAAAAAGAAAAGGGATAAACAAGGTGATAACAAGAATAATCCTAACCCTACTCCTAACACAGAATCTACAAATGTTTTTCAACATGAATTTCTTGTTTGTTCTGGATCTTCTTTGAATGATGAATGGATTTTAGACTCTGGGTGTACATTACATGCCACTTCTAACAAGGCCTACTTCTCCTCCTTGACTCTTTATGATGGGGGAAAGGTCATGTTAGGAGACAATACTGCCCTAGATATCAAAGGTGTGGGTAATGTTCCGCTGAGGATGTTTGATGGGGGGTTGTAAGGGTTATCCAAAATGTTAGATGGGTTCCCTTCTTAAGAAGGAATCTTCTATCTGAATCTGTTTTTGATGATCTGGGTTGCACTATTAATACACAGGATGGATATAAGTTTGTTTCCAGAAATGGAAATGACCTTATTAAAGCTAATAAAAGTGGAGGACTTTACTTAGTTAATTGCTCCCTTGAACTTAACTTAGCTGCTTCTGTTGATAATAGTACAACTCAAAAGCAAACTGAAATTTGGCATAATAGATTGGGTCATATTGGGAATGTGGGTTTGAATAAGCTGTTTAAAACTGGATTTTTAGACTTTAAACCTGAAAACCTTGTTTTTTGTGAAAACTGTGTTCTTGGTAAGAAAATTAGGCATCCTTTTGAACAATCATCTTATGTTGCTTCTGCTCCCTTAGAATTGGTTCATTCTGATTTATGGGGACCATCTAAAGTGAGCACAACTGGAGGTAGGAAATACTTTCTATCTCTAGTTGATCACTTTTCCAGGAAGGTGTGGGTTTTCTTATTAAAAACTAAGGATGAAACCTTTGAGAATTTTAAAAACTGGAAAATATTGGTTGAGTCTCAATCCAATTTTAAACTGAAAGCTTTGAAAACTGATAATGGCCTTGAGTTCTGTAACAATGAATTCATTGTTTTTTGCAAAAATGAAGGGTTTAAAAGGTTACTTACTGTCCCTGGTACTCCTCAGCAGAATGGCACTGCTGAAAGGATGAACAGAACCATGCTTGAAAAGGCAAGGTGTATGCTCATCAGTTTAAGCCTTGGTAATTCCCTGTGGGGTGAAGCAGTGGTTA